CGGGAGAGGTGGGACTGGACACGGGTGCTCCTGGTATCACAGCCACCCTGTGCAGTCACCCCTGGGCCATCCTGTCCTGCTCCTGGGTGCTCCAGCTGCGTTTCTTCAGCCTTCTCCAAGGGGAAACGGGCGCCAGCACCTGCATGGACACTTGGGCTGGACGCAGGAGCTGCTTAAGAAGAAGAAAAAAGGTCATTTCTTGAGGGAGCTGGGCCTGTTCAGCCTGGAGAAGAGAAGGCTGAGAGGGGACCTGAGCAGTGTCTAGAAGTACCTCAAGGGAGGCAGTGAGGAGGATGGGCCGGCCTCTTTTCACTGGTGGCCACCAACAGAACTAGATGTAATGGCCACAAACTGAAGCACCAAAAGTTCCACAGGAACTTAAGGAAAAATTTACCAGTGAGGGCGCCAGAGCACTGGAACAGGCTGCCCAGAGAGGTGGTGGAGTCTCCTTCTCTGGAGATCTTCAAACCCGCTTGGACGCAGTCCTGTGCCATGTGCTCTAGGTGACCCTGCGTGTGCAGGGGGTTGGACTGGATGATCCCTAGAGGCCCCTTCCAACCTTAAGCATTCCATGATTCTATGATTTCTTCATCAGAGCAATGCAAACGTGCAGATACCTTGTGGGCAACAGGGGAGGGACAGAGGAGGAGCACAAAGACTCTTTCTCCTGCAAAGAGCTCCTATCTTGGCCCAGGAATGATCCCAGACCAGGAGCACCCTGTCCTGAGCCACAGGATAGGGATGAGCTCAGCCACAGGGGTGGCCCCGTGCGCACAGCCGGGCAGGGACTGCAATTAGCAGCAGCACGAGATGAAAATCAGCACCCAAAGCAGTGGCCATGAGGTCCCGGAGCTGCTCAGCCCTGGGAAACAGCGGGATATGTGGGGAGGACTCGCAGGCCACAGCTGGAAAATCCAGCCCCGTCTAAAAATACGGCCAGAGAAGCTGTCACGGAGCCAAGTGGTGCTGCGGGAGCTCGGAAATGCCCTCCCTTCCTTAGGGAGCTGTGTGGGAAAGGAGGCCCGGGAGAGCCGGGGGGTCGGCGGCAACCTGGGACCAGGCTCCATGGGTCCCGTCTCGCGGCTCCTCTCGTTGCCCCACGTGGCCGGAGCTGCCAGGGGGGCGCGATGGGCCTGGGAGCTCTCCAAGTGCCAGAGTCCAGGACGAGGCGAGCTCCTTTCCTGGCAGCATTCCCTGGAAATGGAACACGGGTGTGCTAGAACCCACACGGGGGACGTGCCCCCATGCACCGGGAGGCTTCTCTTTCCCTCGATTAATTCCTTTTAATGATTCCGGCTAAGAAAAACCTCGTAGCTGCCGCCTGTCGGGGGAGATCAATGGAGCTGCATTAGCAGCAGAGGGAAAATGTCCCGGGTGAGACCTGGGCCAACGCGGCCGCTGGGAGCAGCGCTGCCCAAGCAATCGATAGCTCCCCTGGAGCTCCAGGGCAGCAAAGGCTGCGCCGGGCCCACAGGGACTGCCTCATAACGGTCCTGGTTGGGCTGGCGCGTAGGGAATTGGAATTGGAAACCCTCCGTGCCCACGCGGGGTGATGGACCGGGACGCTTGGATCCCGCTTGTGCAATGTGGGAATCTGCTCGGCAGCACCCGGGATACTCAGTTACTCACGACTCATCCTCAGGGGTTTTCCACGTGGCTGCCTGTCCCGAGGCTTTTCCAGGGCTCTCCGCTGGCATCAATTCCAGCCTGGAGGAGGTGCAGGATGTCTCCTTTGCTCTGTGCCTGCTGGGAACCCCCTGCCCTTTAGCACAACGAGCCCCAAGCCAGAGCTGCTCTCCTGCAGATATGTTATTAAGGAAAGAGCACTTGGGACATGCAGCCCGTTACAGACCCCGGAGCCACCTGCTTTTGCTCCTGGCACTGCCCCACTCGGAGGAGCCGCGATATTTCACGGCTCAGAGCCAAGGCTCCGTATGGAATTCCTTGCAGCTTCGCTGTGGCGATGCTGTGCGTTAGTGTCACCAGCTGGGAAAACGCCATTCCCGCTGCCCTGTTCCCAGCTGGACACCCCTGTGCTCCGGAGGCCACGGGGACCGCCCCCCGTTCGCCCCGCGGAGCTGGCAAAAGCCGTGACCGGGAATGAGGCCCTGGGAGCTCAGCCTGCTGCTCCAGGCTCCTTTTCCTCCTTGGCTGGGAAGAGCCGCTGCTCAGCGCGTGACAGAAATCCCAATGAGAGCAGCTCCGGGCGGGAACACTGCATGGAAACTGCAGTGGGAACCCCGGAGGCATCGCCCCGGCACGGGGCATCGGTCCTGCACCGGCCTCGGCATGGGACGGCTTTATCCCAGTGCTCCATCCTTGGAAGCCCCTCGGGCTGGGGTCTTGCAGGTGACGGGCA